AATGCGGCCTACAAGATCATTCCTTCACACAAGTCATGAACACTTTGAATCTCCAGTACATTACATCATATTTAAAATACTGCAGAAATGAACTACATACCTCACCAAGTCCCTTTCTGTTGGTACCTGCTTTGAGAAAAGAGTGCCTATCGTACAAAAGATACCTCAGTGGGCAGCCAAAGTAATTCTAGTTAATTGATCAAAAGGCGGGTCAATTTAACATTTCATTGACAGCCTGACAGCTTACGTCGGGATAATTCGCTGTTTTCTTGAAGTGACTTTCCGGCGGCAGCTCAAATTCTGGATGGTCAATCTGAGAAAGAAAGATCAAGAAGGACTGAACAACACCAGTCGTATTAGCAGTGGGATATATCAGTAAAGGAAGAAGCAGGTAACCGGGGGGCAGGGGGGATGGTGCCAGTGAGGCAGCAGAAAGAGGCAAATATTGTGGATATTAAACTCTGTGGTAATCCTTCCCATAGAGAGAAACCAAGCCTGAAGAAGGATGAGGTCATTCTTGAGTTTATGACTGGGATTTTTTTTTTAGAATCTTTTTTAAAAATAATATTGATAATTATTTGAGGTAAATCATCATTGGTGGAAAAGTGCCATCAAGTTGCAGCTGACATACAGTGACCCCTTTAGGTTTTAACAGCAAGAGACAAGCAGAGGTGGTTTGCCCTTGCCTGCCTCTGCATTTTTGTTGTTGTTCAGTCGCACAGTCGAGTCCGACTCTTCGCGACCCCATGGACCAGCTCCCGCCAGGCCTTCCGGTCTTCCGCCGTCCTCTGAAGTTTGCTCAATTTCATGTCCGTTGCATCTATGACACTGTCTAACCCTCTCATCCATTGCCGTCCCCGTCTTCTTTGACCTTCAATCTTTCCCGGCATCAGGGTCTTCTCCAGTGAGTGCTCCCTTCTCATTGGGTGGCCAAAGTATTTGAGTTTCAGTTTCATTATCTGGCCTTCCAGGGAACAGTCAGGCCTCGGGGGTCTCCCATCCAAGTACTAACTAGGTCCAACCTTGCTTAACTTCATGAAATCCGACAACATTGGGTTAGCCTGGGCCATCCAAAGTCAGTCCCCCTGACTCTGACCTGGCTAGAAACGCTTTCCCACCAGCTCTTGTCTTTGCTTCTGCATTTCCTGTAGGCAGACGCCCTCAACTTCAGATGCTGTTTCCTGACAGAGAGGATGTTTACTTGTAGTGCTATCGCTTGTGGGAATGGGGGATTTTTTTTCGTCATTCCAATTTGATAAGAAGCTCAACAAAACTTCTCCAAAACACTCACGTTATGCCAAGCTCTTGACCCTTTCCTTTCGGAATGAAATACAGTCAGCAGAAGGGGGGGGAAGAAGGGAGTCAGAGTTGCTGTAGCAGGGGAAGGCGGGTTAACCCTGTCCTAGCCATTCTACCACTTTCTTCAAAACAGCCACTGAAGATGCTATTTGTCATGGGGAGGATAAAAGGCAGGTTCCTGTGCTGTACCTGCCTCCCACCCACCACCCACCATGCCTGCTGCAACTAACCGCAGCATTAGAGAGGGCAAATTTGAACGTGGAAGCATTGGGGGGGGGGTTAACCTCCCTGTTCCCCAGTGGCATGGCCCCGTTTCCATTCAGTGTGCCCACCATGGGTGCTGTGAAGCAAGCCCCCCCCTCAAAAAAGATGGATCATTTGATTGCTCAGCTCCTGTAGAAAGTGCCGCTCGGTCCTGAAAGAACTCCCAGTATTTTTACTAAGTTGAGTCAAGGAAATATGACTCTTGCAATGATTTGTCGCTTTCAGAGCTGCTAAACTGCAACAGCAGGCCCTTAAAAAAAAAATACAATTAAGCACAAAAGCAAAGAAAAGGTAAAAATTTTCATGTTTTGGTAAACAGGAAAAAACACTCGTGTCTAGATGATCCAATCTGAATTGCCTCTGGCCAGACAGAACCTGTAATGTACAGAGTTGTGTTTTGTTCTCTTTTAATTAAGGACAATCATTTTTTTTTTAATTTATTTACTTCATTTATAAAGGTAAAGGTTCCCTTGCTTGAAAGCCAGTCGACTCCGACTCTAGGGTTGCGGTGCTCATCTCTGTTTCAAAGCCGAAGAGCCAGCGCTGTCCGAAGACGTTTCCGTGGTCATGTGGCCAGCATGACTAAACACCAAGGCGCACGGAACGCTGTTACCTTCCCACCGAAGTGGTGCCTATTTATCTACTTGCAATTTCTTGCTTTCAAACTGCTAGGTTGGCAGGAGCTGGAACTAGAGACGGAAGCTCACTCCATCATGCGGCACCCGGGTCTCGAATTGTTGAACCACTGACCTTTCACAGCCTGCAGTTCAGCGTCCTAACCACTTGAGCCACCACAGCTCCTACTTCATTTATACCCTGCCTTTTTCTCTAATGGGGACCCAAAGCAGCTTACAGGCTTCTTCCCTCCTCCATTTTATCCTCACAACAACCCTGTGAGGTAGGATAGGCTGAGAGTGTAACTGGCCCAAGACCACCCAGCGAGCTCCCATGGCAGACTGGGGATTCGAACCTGGGTCTTCCAAATCCTTTGCCGGCACTCTGACTACTCCACCTCACTGGCTGTCAACCACACACCCTCTCTATTCACAACATATGGATCCTGTTGCCAGGAGAGGGGAGAACAATCCACCATCTGTATCGCTATTTGCTTTTGCTTTGATTTCGATTCTGAATGTTATGATACCCGACTGTCTTCCTCGCCCCAGTTCTTGCAGTGTCCTTGCTCACCCTTCTGCCTTCCTCCTTGCATCCCAGCTACAGCCGCTTTTGGGCAGAGCTTGTAGACTCTGGCTCTGAGGAGGCTCTCCTGTGCTCTTTGGATGAAACCCTATTCCTACAGCATGGTTTAGGACACCTGCTTCCCTGCCCACCATCTGCCCAGTGCTCAGTCCCAGTTCGGGTTGCCATCATCTCTCACTTCAGCACTCGGCCTGCACCGTGGCTTGCAGGCCAGTGTGGACAGCCAGAGGGTTCCAGATGGAGTGCAAAGATGCACCTAGGGATCCTCTGGAATTACAGCTCACCTCCAGACCAGAGAGAACAATTCCCCTGGAGAAAATAGATGCTTTGGAGGATGAACTGTATGGCACTGTACCCCACTAAAGTCCCTGTCCTCCCCAGGCTCCATCGCCAAATCTCCAGAAGCTTCTCAACCTCAATCTGGCAACCCTACCCGCCCCCCATCCCCAGCAGTGGCCGGGGGGGGGGGCTGGCAACCCTAGAGCCAGGGGGAGGAAAGAGGGAAGGTTGTTATCTCCTCAGGCTCAAGGATGAAACCAATGGAAGTAACAATCAAGTGCAAGCCAGCAGCTGCAGGTACTACAGCAAAACGCCTTGAGCGACCACTGCGTCTGTGTAATATGAAAGGCCTAGTTCTCGCTGATTCTGACTTGGGTTTGTACAGCTTCAAGCTGCAAAAATGGGTTTACAATCAGTAAATATCCTTTTCACACATACCCAAGCTCTTAGCACATAGAAAAATGGTGTATAAAGGTGACTGTCCCCCCCAGACTCCATCCCCATATAGCCAGGAGTTTCCCAACCTGGGGCTGGCAACCCAACAGCCCTCCACCCCTTGCCGGTGGCCAGAGAGGACTTGGCAACCCTGAGTGGCCTGATGGCCCAACTCTTTATAAGGCAGTTCCTTGGCTTGTGCACTACTCAGAGTTGGCATCAGCATACCCCAAAGAGAGCCAGTTTGGTGTAGTGGTTAAGAGCAGCCGACTCTAATCTGGAGAACCAGGTTCTATTCCCCACTTCCCCACTTGAAGCTAGTTGTCATAGCACTCTAGGCCTAAAAATAAGTCATAGCACTCTAGGCCTAAAAATAAGCATAGCTCGCCACCTAGTGGTGCCGAAAAAGAGCTACAGCTTTGGCAGCCAAACAATCCCTCCCGGGATCTCCTACTGGCTATTCCACACACAATGCCATACGATAATTAATTATGGGTGGGCTGGAAGGAAGGGCGGAATGGGGTTCCTGATGGCGGCTAGAAGAGGCGAAGGGACCCCTGCACATACTCTGCTTGGAACCAGCTGTGGAGCTACTACAATTAAACTTACTGATTGAAGTCAGCAGCTGTTGCCTTCCCCATTCTGCCTACCATTGCTTGCCTTTGGGTGTTCTCAGGGGTCATTTCCTGCAGGAGTGCACAGGAGCGGAGCTCCGGCAGTAAAGAGCCCAGGGGGCAGGCACATACAACAAGCCCGCCCCCTGCTCCCAGCAGCCAAGGGCCACGAGGAGCAAGAAGCAGCCAGGTAAGTTGCAGTGGGTGTTGCCTTCTGACACACTTCTGGTGATGTCAGGGTGTGTGGCATATGCAAATAAGTTATGCTAATGCGCTCCTGCGCCTCTTTTTCTACAAAATGACCCCTGGGTGTTCTTACCTGGATAATGTTGGTGCTTGGATCGGAGGAGCTGGGTCCCACGTAGGCTTTAAAGAAGGGGAATGTGTTGTATCTTTTCATGAGTCTCTGAAGAGTCAGGTTGAAGTCTCTCTCTCTCCAGGAGCCTGTGATGCTCCATCCGCCAACCTGAAAGAACCAAACACGAATCTGGATTGTCGAGATCTGGTGCGGTGCTGTTGCTAAGAACGCGATCTCTGAGCCGGGAAGCGCCCCTTCAGGCCTTGCCTTGGCCAAGGAATAGCGATTATCCTGTGGTTCTCTGTTGCCCCAAGTGAGCAAGGATGTAGACTTTCCAATTTCCCGGGGGGGGGGGCTGGGGCTGGGCCAGAGGCATTGCTTTGCAGGGTGGCTCCCGGGGGAGGCTGAGCACCTTCCTGAAAATTTCGGCGGGGACTAACGCCCCGCCGCCCCCACGAAGATTATGCCTATGAGCACCGAAGATTCACACACAATCGTTTTCATGTGAAGAGTTATCTTTTAACTCCGGAACGACCTTATGGAGGCTGCATTGCAAGTGGGAGAGGGAGTAGGAAAGCTAGTGTTTCGTTAGAAAGTTTGCTCCGAAATTAAATGGGACATGAAGTCCCTTAGCAGGAGATGTTGGGGTCCATGTCTACTGACCTGGTAACCACCAGTAAAAGATGGGTTTGGGATGGGATTTGCATGTAGAGTGTGGAAACACGAACAGAGACAGAAATAGTAGAGTAACACACAGTCCTTCATTTCCACTTTGATTTGGGGAAACCATCCCAATCCAAGATGAAAGGCAGTGGCACAGCAATATATGAAAACAAGAAAAAGATCACTGTGCCCAAATTTTAACACCAATAATCAATGAATTTAATAACAGTAAGACATATAAAGTACTCAGAAGTACTTTATATGTCTTACTATTATTAAATTCATTGATTATTGGTGTTAAAATTTGGGCGCGGGCATTTTTTTTCTTGGTCTTTCTACTGGACAGGGCTCCCACCAGGCAAAACAATGGTTACAATACAGTGGGTGTGTTGGAGTATTGCAAGTTCACACACTGATGTCATGAAAGAGTTAACCTGTTTCTTTGTGTACGCTAATTGCTAGTTAGTTAGACTTAGAACCAATGAGCTGTCCTGCATGTCGTTCCCACCAGAGAAAAGGAAGTCCTATGCATAATGAAGTGACCTTTAGCCTGGCTATTGGTCAATTCATAGTTGGGTGATGTTTCCCCGAGATTTTGCACGTAGGCATTTTGGGGTTTCTTCTTCCTCCCTTTGTTTTTAGATTAGCGTGTGAGGCTCCATCTTGGAGTAAACAACAGCTAGGAAAATGTAGCGTAGTTAGCTAGACTGCTTATTGTTTTATTCCTTCATGTAACTTTTCTTTTAGCTAATTTAACATGTGTGTGCTGTGTGGTTTTTACTCTGCTAAAATATCCAACAGGGTGGGGTCAGCCATGGCACTACGCACTTTAAACATTGGCAGTGTAAGGGGACTGTCATGCACTATTAATGCTACATTTATCATTGAAACTGTACATTCCCATGCAAGTCAACAAATAGGCTCCCATTATCACGACAAGGTATACAGATAGGCGTGCAGTTACACCTGGATTATGACATGTGAATTTGCCTCCACATGGAATATACATGGTTGTGTAATCTGGATTGTGCTCTACAGATGAAAATTAGTTCCTGGTTTGCACATACCCAACATCCCTTCTTTTACCCTACCATTCACGGCAATACCAGTGATGAATGCTGAAAAAGAAACTGTGCTTCTGAGGAGGCATCAGGTGATATGAAGTTCCGCCTGTGGTGTTAAGATTTATGACGGCCCATCCACACTTGAATCCACTTGCTATTGCAGTGGTAGGCATGTGTGAACTCAGCCTGTAAGTTATGAAGACAAAAGGCAATAAGGGAGTTCTAAAAACTACCTTATACCAGAGGCTGTGAGTCATCACAGTAACATCTGCAATAACCTAACATGTTGTGATAGACTGTGCTTTGAAAACTCATAAAAGTGATAGACTGTGAAGGGTTAATGCCAAAGAGCCTTTGAGTTACAGGTTGCTCAAATGAATTTCATTGGATAGCGTCAGTTTGGAAGAAAGAGTTGGGAATTGGCTGTGGAAGAGAACACAATTTGCTGACTGAGGACTGTGAGGGTGGCAAGGAGGAGGAGGAGGATCAGATCACAAAAAGAGATAGAGCTTCTAGTTTAGAGAAGTGATTCCCTGCCCAGTTGAAAAGGGAGATAGCTCTAAAGAGTGGAGTGATCCCTGGTTTGTTTAGAGAGAAGGATCTGGAGTACTTGGTATTGTATCCCTGCCTTCTGAAACTTGAAGAGTCAGTTACACTCAAGAACTTATACTGCAGCGTTTAGCAGACAATGAAATAAAGCCTCTCCTCTCAAAGATTCAAAGACCTTGTGAAAAGCTTAGAACTCTTCCTTGCTGGAAACATATGAACTGAAGTTTGTGAAATTACTGAGTTAGGAACGTTCATATTCGTGGCAGAGAAAATGCTGACGAGCAATAAATTTCCAACAATGTACTTCACAGAATAATATAAATAACAATGTCATGTTCCTGTCCCCCAAAGATCTTACAAACTAAGTTTCGACAAGGAGAGAGACAACAAAGGATGCCAGAGGATGTAGTGAGTGGAGAAACCATGGGGGTGGAGGTAGGGGGATGAACGTGTGACATATGATGCTGCTTTACACTGAATCAGATCTTTCAGTCCATCAAGGTCAGTATTGTCTACTCAGACTGGCAGCAACTCTCCAGGTTCTCAGGCAGAGATCTTTCCCATCGCCTACTACCTGATCCCTTTAACTGGAAATACTGGGGATTGAACCAGGACCTTCTGCATACTAAGCAGATGTTCAGCCACTGAACCATGGCTCCTCCCCTAACAGAAAATGCAGGCAAAAAGACAGGGTAGGACATCGGGCACCTATCAACAAGGAAGAGGGATACAGCATAGCAAACCATCACCAGCAATGGTCTGAGATACACTGCTATCAATTCTGAACAAAATTAACACAGCTATGCCACTGCGGGTTTTTCCCCTGCTGCTAATATGAGATTATTTCTGAAGAAAGTGGGTCAAGATATGATAGTGTCTGTCTGTACATGCATAGGGCCGCGCGTGCGCATTTTTGTGTGTGGCGATCACCTCATTTATGAGCTCCTTCAAGGGCTGAGCACCTTGCGCTTCAATCCGTTCTGTATTCATGCACGAGCTGTAAAAACGTCTGGCTTTCTCCTTCACTGAACTGTTGGTCCCAAGCGGTTGCTCCTCTGGAGAAGGCGAGGCAGGTAATAAAAAAGAAAAATGGCCGGGGGTTAAGAAGCGCTCTATATAACAAAGTGATTTGGGAGAGGGAAAAGACAAGATAACACAAGGAAACGCCATTGCAGTCAATTGGAACTAGAAGTAGATTTATCGTTAGACTATGGCCTCGATCTAATTCTAGGGTTAGGGTTTCTTACAGTCCATAGCCCCTGCATGGAGTGTCCACATTAGACAGATCCATTGGGCTCTAAGAGGACTACATAGACTTCCATGATGGGCATCCATGCACAGATGTCTCGTACTCAGCTGGGGCACATCTGGGATTGGGAATGAGGACACATTCCTCATTCAACACTACAAAATTAACTTTAGCTGTTGTGCAGCACAGAAAGGTGCTGTAGTTACGGAAATCTTGATAATGTTTGGCATACAAGATCCCAGTCAACCCTTTGAGGGAAAAGTGGAGATTTCCAGGAAAATGTTATTAGCCCTGCACAACACATGCATTAACTGGGCTGCAGGGAAAGGGTGCCATAGCAAAATAAAGGGACAGGAGCCCAGTTTTCACATTAATTTTTTTATACGGTGATATTTCCCCCCTGCCACCCCCCGCCCCACCCCCAGTTATTTCTGTACGGTGAACATGTCTTCTGAGTGTGGCTAAATATGGAGAGACCCTGGTACAAATCATTTCAGAAAGATCCACTCAAAAACGCCGAGGGGGGGGGGGCGGCTATTTGCGCCGTCGCATTCCGATGCGCTATTATGCGATCAGACGCGACGGCAGCTTCCCCGCAGCAAAGAGGACGACGGGGGAGGAAGCCGCGCACCGGCGCGATCTCACCGGGAGGCTTCCGTAGGCGGCCCGTGGCAAAGCGTTTGCTAGTACATGCGGTGTGCTAGTTTTTTACTGCGCGGCTTCGGCGGCTTGCCACGGGGTCGCCACGGGAGTGCTACGCCTCCCAGATGTTCCCGTGTGATCGCGCCCGGATACTCCGCGGGACTCCCGTGCCTTCAGCGGGGCAAATGCTCCATGTGACCGGGGCCATAATGTATTTATTTATTTGCTGTTGTAGTGACACAGGTCAGTCTTAAACTTATTTATTTATTTATTATTGGGTTTTAACCACCCTCCCCCACCAGAGCAGGGCTCAGAGCTGTGTACAATCTGATAATTCATACAACCCAGAATTAAAACTATAAAAGGCCAGTAAAACACAGTAATTAACCTAAAAGATGGCGTTAAAGTTTCAACAGTGCCACTGCCTCACAAGGTGTGTGTGTGTGTGTGCCAGAGTATGCAAACGTTGCCGTCCTCAATCAAATGCCTGGCGGAACATCTCTGCCTTACCGGCCCTGTGGAACTGCAGAAGGTAACACAGGGCATGGATGTTATCTGGCAGAGAGTTCCACCAGGTTTTCCGCCCTGGCTCTAGTTGAGGACAGCCAGACATCCCTCAGGCCAGGGACCATCAGCAAATTCTGGTCTGCCAAGCACAACACTCTTCTGGGGGTATACCGGAAGCTGCGGTCCCGAAGATACTTAAACGTCATGCTGCAATGGCTTGTTTTCTGCAGACGTTTCTGGGCTTAGCAGCAGCCATTGGTCTCTTCTCCCTACCTAAGAGCCTCTTCACGATCAGCTGGTTTTCTTCCAAAAGGACGTCAAAGACGTTCGCCAACGGCACGTTTGTCCCCTGCGTGTGGTTGGCTTCCCAGTTGCCGCACGTGTAGCTGAAGAAATCGTCACAAGGGTCCACGGTACCATTACGAGCTGCCAGCAACTTTGTCACGAGCGCCAGACACTCCGCAGTGTTGCAGGTTTCTGAAGTAACACAGAAATGGTGATTAGCAGGGTGCAGACAACAGCGGAAACTGGAAAATAAGAATGGGCTAAAGGAGACCACCAAGAGATGCCATACGTATCTTGCCTTTGTTACAGAGTGCTCGTTCGACAAATGATTGTAACTGGCTACAAGACAAAACTTTGGGACCTGTTGGTCACTTTGTGCAACCTTTGACACTCAAAACAATTGAGGGAAATTCATCACAGTGAATCTGGGTGGACTGTTAACTCAGCAGAGTCCTGATGGTGCAGAAAGGGAATTGTCGTAACACATCTGCCACCCACTTCAAGTCCCCACTTATATTAAAGATTTCCTTGCTCGAAGGCCAGTCGAACCCGACTCTAGGGTTGCGGTGCTCATCTCCGAGCAAGGGAACCTTTACCTTTAAAGAAGACCGCCCAGAGATGCCATATGTATCTTGCCTTTGTTACAGAGTGCTCGTTCGACAAATGATTGTAACTGGCTACAAGACAAAACTTTGGGACCTGTTGGTCACTTTGTGCAACCTTTGACACTCAAAACAATTGAGGGAAATTCATCACAGTGAATCTGGGTGGACTGTTAACTCAGCAGAGTCCTGATGGTGCAGAAAGGGAATTGTCGTAACACATCTGCCACCCACTTCAAGTCCCCACTTATATTAAAGATTTCCTTGCTCGAAGGCCAGTCGAACCCGACTCTAGGGTTGCGGTGCTCATCTCCGTTTCAAAGCCGAAGAGCCAGCGCTGTCCAAAGACGTTTCCGTGGTCATGTGGCCGGCACGACTAAACACCAAGGCGCACAGAACGCTGTTCCCTTCCCACCGAAGTGGTACCTATTTATCTACTAGCAATTTCTTGCTTTCGAACTGCTAGGTTGGCAGGAGCTGGAATTAGAGATGGGAGCTCACTCCGTCACGCGGAACCCAGGTCTCAAACTGCTGAACTACTGACTTTCCACAGCCTGCAGTTCAGCATCTTAACCACTTGAGCCTCCGCAGCTCCACTTATATTACCATGACTTATTTGTGTAAATCTAGCAGGGGCGGTTTGTTCGATGAATCACCAGAGGTTATGATGACCACCAAAAACAGAATACGAAGAATGGGGCTGTGGAACAGGTAGAAAGTTCTAGCCTTGGTCCCTTAGCAACACAAGTGGAGTTGCACCAAAAGAAGAGAACTTGCCTGCCTGTCATAGACTGGGATGTTAGTTCGTCCTTAGGGGGAGAACCTTATGACTTTGAGGAGAAGGAGACTGGGGTCCGGAAATTGACCCAGGAGATAGAATCCATTCAGTCTTCTGCTATAAATGAGAATCTATGGGCTGGGAAGGGGTCAGCAAGAATAGCAAAGGTTAAACACGACTGCAAGTTGCATCGTCTTATCTCCAGTCTTTTCTTTAGCCATTGGGCCCATCTGATTGTTCTGGGCATCAGCTTGACAGAGAGGAACTCATCAAGTCCTTCAAGCGGTAATTGGTTTCAGAGTTCTTGCTTGGAACTTGAGGAAGGGAAAGGACAGGGCACACAGACTCCTTGAGAGATTCCCTCCACTAATGGATAATTCACAGACTTCCAGCACCTCTGTCACGCATGCACACACACACGCAACTCCTGATCTGGTCTAGACACTTAGGCAGGGCTATTTTTGGGCAGGAACCTACAGAAACAGAGTTCCGACTGGCTCCCGAGTTGGCCACGCCCAACAGCAGGAACTCATTAGGATTGGCTACATTAGGGGTGTGTGGCCTAACATGCAAAGGAGTTCCTGCTACAAAAAAAGCCCTGGGTTTTGACCACAAACAAGGTAAACAGAATAAGAAGAGGCCATGGTCATCCGAGGGAAAACTCTATGGTTTTCCCTCAGATGGTCGTGGCCCCGCCCCAGCGTGCCCAGCGTGATCACGAGAAAGAGCCGGGAGTCCCAGCGTGCCCAGCGTGATCACGGGAAAGAGCTGGGAGTCCCAGTGTGCCCAGCGTGATCACGGGAAAGAGCCGGGAGTCCCAGCATGCCCAGCGTGATCACGGGAAAGAGCTGGGAGTCCCCCGCTCCAGCGAAAGGTAAGACTTGGCAACTCTAGGTTTGGAGGAGGGACCTGAGTGCGGTATAATGCCATCGTGTTCACCCGCCAAGGCAGCCACTGTCTCTATTTCTGTAGTCTGGAGATCACTTGTAATTCTGGGAGATCTCCAGGACACACCCAACTCAGCCCCTAAAGTACTGGTTGTTGTTGTTTCCACAGGTCCTGGAAGCATTTGCAGGTTCCTGAAGCATGGATTAATTCTGGGAGATCTCCAGGCCACACCCAACTCAGGCCCTAAAGCACTGGTTGTTGTTGTTTCCACAGGTCCTGGAAGCATTTGCAGGTTCCTGACACATGGGAGGGGCTGTGGCTCAGAGACAGAGCACCTGCTTGGCATGCAGAAGGTCCCAGGTTCAGTCCCAGGCATCTCCAATTAATGTGACCCAGACAGTAGGTGATGTGAAAGACCTCTGCATAAAACCCTGGAGAACCTGAGTAGACAGTACTGACTATGATGGACCCAAGGGTCTGATTCAGTATAAGGCAGCTTCATGTCCCAACCAGTGTTCCCTCTAAGCAATGTTCCCTCTAAGCTGTGGAGTCTTTTTTAACCTCCGGCTCACACATTTTTGTCTTCGCTCAGGGAGGATGGCGAGCTGGAGGCTAAAAAACTGTGAGCTAGCTCACCCTAACTCATCTTAGAGGGAACACTGCCTCTAAGCTGAGTTAGTGTGAGTTAGCTCACAGTATTTTAGTCTCCGGCTCACACGTTTTCGTCTTCGCTCAGGAAGGATGGCTCCAGAGCAAACTGATTTATGCAGCAGTCAAATCGCTCGCTCACAACTTTAATGCCGGTAGCTCAGATAGTAGAATTTTTGCTCACAAGACTCCACAGCTTAGAGGAAGCATTGGTCCCAACCCCCCTCAAACTTAAAAAATAAAGGAGCTTTCATTGGGTCTATTTCATCCAAGACAGTGTCTGCATTACTGATTGCCTCTGTCTGAAAGAGAAAGAACAAGGGATTTAGGGGGTTATGGGAAATCCCTCAAATGGGCAAGGCAAGGCAGGAAGGAATGTTCTAATACCCGGGCCACAGGTGAAGGCGGTGAAGAAAATGAGGAGCACGAGTCCAAGCACAGCACTGAACAGCACAGCAAGGAGGAGCAAGATTTTTCCTCGGCGACATCTCCGTTTCGAGTCCCTTCCTGAGGCCTCCTCATAGGTCTGGAATCGGAGAAGATAAAGCACGTGAAAACAGAAACGTCCCTTATCCCCAGACTCAAGTTAACAGGTTGTGGAATCAAAGACTGTCCATGATACTGAGATTTCAAAACAGCCATGGGTGACAAGTACCATCTGCACAAGCTCAAAGCCCCTTTCAGATATTAAATTTTGGTCACGCCAACCACACATAATGGGAACACGTGCCACCCACAATCCTCCCAATACGCACAGTTGTCGTGTTGTGAGAACAGGGCCATAGTAACTGTTAAGTCGTTCACTTAACAAAGTAGTCGGAGAGTGATTCAGCAAGAACACAGCTTTATTCTTCAACTCGAACACAACTCCAACACGGATCAACATCTGATAGCCAGAACAGCCTTTACATTGCAGCTGTCCTGCTTTTAAACATTCCCGGCTAAAGTAGCCACACCCACTGTACAAATATCAACCTATAAGGTTGCCGAGATAAGGTCCAATCATATTAGTTCCCGCTCAGGGAGCTTGCTTGAAGTGATTGGCTTGTTACTTCCTGGGCTAGCAACACTATTGGATGGATTTGGATCCTAGCCCAGGACGAAGCTTAACATTACAGTTCAGTTAGATGTTTCACAACATGTCATGCATTCAAGGCAGCTTTGAATACACTACAGTAACCTGCTAAAGCTGGCAGCTGGTCTGTGGCATGGGCCAGTTTACAACTGAAAGCCTGTTGAAATGAGATAGACTTCTCTCTTGGGATATTGTCCTCAATCCCTTCACAAGCCCCTAACCTTCTGTTTCTCTAAAGTAATATGGGATAGCTGCTCTATCTCTGCTTCTTTATTGGCCCCTGAGCCCAGGTACCTATACAATAGATATTGAGGTTCTTTTCTTTCCCAAGGTGATGCCTAAGTATCTAACTATTCTCCTGGTTAGGGCTACCATTCAAGCAAGTGATCACGATGACAAATCTCATTTTAAGCACCTCTACTATTTAAGCTGGGATAATTGCGACTAACGAGGAATAGTCCTAACCCTCCAATCCAAAATGAGGACATTTGCATCAATTTTTTAAAAAGAGCCCAAAAGAGGATGACACACAAAAAAAAGAGGATCGTGCATATCTGGTAACCGTGAGAACTGCAGGTAGCACATGTTCCCACTATGCATGGTTGGTACGTCAAAATAAAATCTCTGAAAAGAGCTTGTGTACACCCCCGATCTGTGGCATATGTGAATGAGCCATTGCCCATTCAGCGAAGACCCATCAGGAATTACCAAGTCTGTGTTTGTGAACTGGGCCTGTGTTTTTCATGGGTAATTGCACCAACTAAAGGGGGGGGGGATGAAGTGCATTAAACAAGCAAAAATGAAACCGCAAAGATTTCACAACACTGTGATAGTGGATGGACTTGCTAGGGTTGCCAAGCTCCAGGTGGGGTCTGGAGTTCTCCAGGAATTACAATTCATCTTCAGATGGCAGAAATCAGGTTTGGAGAGTAAATTCTGGCATCACATTGACCTCCCTAAACTCCTAAACTCTACCTGTCCCAGGTGTCTCCCTGAAATCTCCAGAAATTTCCCAAGTTGGAGTTGGCAACCCAGACTGGCAATTCTAAGCATGTATACTTGGAAGTAAATCCCATGTTAGTCAATGGGCTTTACTCCCTGGAGAGTGTACTTGGGACTGCAACCTACATCACGTTTTCCCTCGTCAGTTGGCAGGTCTAGCAATAACCTAGGAGACTGTGTTACCTAAGCACAAGATATTCATCTTGGACTCTCTTTGTAAATATAAGTGATGCAAAGTAAGGAATCAAATTAATCATACAGACATATTTTTCCAATCTGGCAAATGAACACAGTGTAACATTCTCAAACATCTGTTGCCTCTTGATAACTAGATGTGGCTGCCACACAATATGTTTCTGTTCTCTGATTGGGCGGCTTCGGGGTGATTCAAGTGTTAACTGGGTGAGCAAGTACCGTCCCCTCAGGCCTGTAACCACTTGCATTTTCACACAGAGAGTCATTTCTGTGAAATGGGCCCACATGAAAATGATACCCTATGCCAAAACTTATCTCCTCGGGACAGAACTACACATTATATGTAGTTCTGTGATAATTTCCCTATACATTTTTTCCAGATTGCAGCCATAGGGAAGATGATTAGGGTTATCAATCTCAAGGTGGGGCTTAGTGTAGTCCCAGAATTATATCTGATCTTCAGACTATAGAGATCAGTTCCCCTGGAGGAAATGGCAACTTCAACCATAGAAAGTAGGAGAAACTGTAACAAGTCCCTCTAAGGTGTGGAGTCTTGTGAGCAAAAATTCTACTTGGTGAGCTCCTGGCTTTAAAGTTGTGAGCCAGCGATTTGGCTACCGCATAAATTAGTTTGCTCTGGAGCCCTCTTTCCTGAGCTTAGACAAAAATGTGTGAGCGGGAAGCTAAAAAACTGTGAGCTAGCTCACACTAACTCAGCTTAGAGGGAACACTGGTAACAGCACTGAAGGCCAGAGGCCTGTTGGGATTGAGAGAGAGAGGTGTGACTGCTGTTGGTAGAGCTGCCAGGTCACCCTGTATATACATCCCTCAGCCTTTGCTCACCACTGCTCATCTAAGCAGCAGGAGGAAGTTGCCTGGTGAGATGTGGGGATGGTGGTGGTGGTGATTTGCATTGCTTGGTGGAATGATGGCACTTTCTGTGCAACCTGGAAGTGATGTCATGTAGATAGGGTTCCCAACTCCAGGTTGGGAAATTCCTGGAGATTTGGGGGGGGGGGAAGCCTAGGGAGGAGGGCTCTTTGTGTAGAAAAAGCCCAGCAGGAACTCATTAGCATATTAGGCCACACCCCTGACAGCACCACTCATTAGCACATTAGGCCACACCTCCATGTTACCAGAAGTGTGCTCATCCAGCCACACCCACCTTTCCCTTCTTATTCTGTTTACCTTGTTTGTTGTCAAAACCCAGGGCCTTTTTTGTAGCAGAAACTCCTTTGCATGTTAGGCCACACACCCCTAATGCAACCAATCCTAATGAGTTTCTGCTATTGGGCGTGGCCTATTATGCTAATGAGTTCTGCTGGGCGTGGCCAACTCAGGAGCCAGCCGGAACTCCGTTCCTGTGCGTTCCTGCCCAAAAATAGCCCTGCTAGGGAGGATGGGGTTTGGGGAGGAGAGGGAACTTGGTAGAGATGTGTTGCCATGGAGTGCCCTCCAAAGCTGCCATTTCCTCCATGGGAACTGATCTCTGCCATCTAGAAGTCACTTGTAATTCCAGGAGATCTCTAGACATCACCTGGAGGTTGGCAGTCATAACCGAGATGATGCTCTAGCATTCTCCCAGAATTGTATGATTCAACCATAGAGTTTGGGGTGAATGGCAGAGTGTCACCCCTGGCATGAAGATGTCACTACTGGGTCACACAGGAAGTGACATCATTACACCATGAACATCAGTTCCCCCCAACTGTAAGTCCCCACCTTCTCCATCTTCCACTAGTTGCCAGGTTAAACCAAAATGTTTTGGGCAAATGCTAGAGCATCACCACCAAAGTGCAATGACATCGTTCTTGGGTCACACCAGAAATGATATCATCACACTGCAGATGCCAATCATGCCCCCCCCCCAAACACACCATAAGACCTTGCCTCCTCCATCTCCTACCAGTTGCCAAGCCGAATCTGTCAACCATACCCAAGTGACATAAGGAGAGAGCGAAATATGGGGGGAGGGGTTAAAATTAAATTTTAATGGGAGGAAGTGACCTCACCAAATGGCGAGAAGTTGTAAAGCTGACCTTTGACCTGGATGTGATACCACAGGACATGATCACTGAGCTCCCCCCCCAAAAAAAACCCCTCCCCCCTCCCCAGGCCATGTCCCCAAATTTCAAGAAACTTCCCAAATCCTGAGTTGATAGCCATGGCTATGATTGAGAAGGAGAGAGACTATTTCCCATTCATGTTTTTTCCTACCAAAAATTGATACCTGCAAGATGTGTTTGCAGCTACTGCAGTGGGGAAATACTGTGGAATTGTGCCAGAAAAACCATCATAGAATAAATGATGCATAACAAGCAAAGAATAAAAGTTAGAATGAAGAAAGATGGAGGAGCGTTTTTGGCTCCAACACAGCATACCACCCAGTCAGCTTTACCTGTAGTGAACCTTGTAGCTAGTATCCTATACGTTTACGGCTGCAAGCCGATGTCTGCTTACCATGAAGTCAGCTGCACTGAACACATTGGGACTTACTTCTGAGTATACACAGCTTCTCGGCCTTCCTCCCCAGTTCTCAGGGTGGCATACTCCCTCACAACAACCCTGTGAGGTGGTTTCAGCTGAGAGACAGTGCCTGGCTCAACCTTCATCACTTAATGGGGATTTGAAACCAAGTTCCCAGACCCCGACTCCACACCGCTGTCTTTGGGATCTCATGTAGGATCAAGCTGCAAGTGCCTTCTGAAAATTAACACTACCATTATCTGTTGTATTCTGTTTATGTCCCACCCTGTCTCCAAGGCCAGAGGCACCTAAACTGCTAAGCATAGTAAGTGTTTTTCAAGGTGTAGCTTCCCCCATGTGCCGAGACTGAATGTCTGCAAAGGGTTCTAGAGTTATCCTGTGCAAATCATTAGGGGCAAAGAAAATTCCAGTGCCGAAGGGCACACAAAGATCATTTTCTTCCTCTCATCCAAAATCCCAGAGATTTTCGGCCAACGCCGTCCTATCTGCCAAACGTACACTCAAAATAAAATGGACAACTTACACAACGAATGAGTTATGCAATCCAGGAGCTGCGAAACATCATCGGCCCTGTGCAACTATCAGCATTCACATTTCATATTAGAAGCGAAAAAGATTTGGAAAAATGTTAGGGAGGGTGGAAAATGAAAGAGACATGAAACCTCTACAGCCCATGTGACCAATTTTGAATCTATAGAAAGCCAAAAAAATATAATCCTATAAATTCACTTGTTTTCAGAAACGCATAACAGCAAATTGTCAATGAA